ACAGCCAACATCAACATAGACCCTGATCTATCATCACATTATGTGCTCACATAATCAGTTTCTGTATTGTTTGTAGTTGGACCCTACATATATTTTGTAGTTAATGGATTATTTATGCTAGTTATTGTAAGTAGCACTAAGTTTTCAAATAGTCTAGACCCTTGACAGACATTGTATTTCTGCACCAATATGGCAGCCAGCATCTTTAAATTGTGCCATTGACATCAGAAGCATCCGTTATTAGTACACTCATCCAATTATGGCTTGGTACAGGTAGTATTGTTTCTCCCACTGAACATAATTGTAGGCATTCAGGGGCCAACTGCCTTTCAGAATTTTATTTTTGTAAGAGGATATATGATCTAAATTTTTTCAGTAGATTACCAGTGTTGTTTTGATGTTGAATTTGTCTCAGCATGTAGTTCACATGCTGTCTTTGTGGACAATTGAGTAGATACATATGTCACTGAAAAAATATGAGAGGATGGGTCAGGAGCTTTGGTGTAGATAGCTAAAATAGTAGCATGCCTGGTTAATGTTAATGGAGTTTTGGTCCAATCATGAATTTTTCACATTGTAGCTTACATTTAAAATTTAGACCAGCTAAGCAATATACGGAATGGAGCTTATTAAATGCAACAAGAATAGGTTTAAGCTAATTTGTAACATTTTTAATTTTATATATTACATGAAATAAATTGTGATGTTCTTTTTCCTTTTATCCATTGTAATAATTTTTTAAGCTAATAAACTGTAGGCAATAATTATTGTTATAAGACTATACAAATTTGTGTTAAATTGATACATATACCTGTGAATGTAGTAGCAGCAGCTTATTGGGAATAATATTCATGGGGGTTTTTTTTAGTTGTCTTATTGCAAACTTAATGCATGTTCATAGGAATATGGAGTTTTTTAGTGAGAGAGAGGTCAGTCCAAATACACATATTGATATCCTAGAGCTGTTTCAGGTTTTGCAAATTTAGTAGTCAGCAAAATTAAAAATGTATTTTAATGAAGAAGTGAATACAGTATTGTAGTATAGTATTTACAATGAAAAATTTCTCAAATTCTGTTTTTTTTTTACAGAATTTGCACACAATCAGCATGCAGTTTTAATTTCCCAAATTTGATGAAATGTTGAGGAAATTAATGCTTGTGTGTCATTAATGTTTTAAAGAGAAAGCACCTTTTGAATTTGTAAAAGTAGAGCAATAACCTTTTTCCCTTTAATTATGCAAATTGCGATTTTAAAATGTTTACATTACCTGCCATGCAGGAATATACTCGCTTTAATTAGCCTTACAAAATATTTGCTGCAATAACAAAGAATATAGCTGAGTGTTTTTTGTTTTTCTATGAATGTGGATTAATACATCCTTTTTTTGTAAGAGAAATCTATCAGTACTCTGCCTAATTTTCTCACATTAATAAGGAATGAGATTCAATTTCAAACAAAATCAAATATAAAATCACAACACTCTATGGCTTTCATGTGAGCAAACCAAGAACCCTGTCAACTTCAGACTTCAAAGGTCAAGTTCATTGCAGCTGAAAGAATAAAAATGGTTTCCATAAAACCACTTCATTTCTACATGGCATACAACCACAAAACTTTTATGGCTGGCTTGCACTTGTGTAAGATAGAAGTCTTGGTTTTGGAGGGGTTAAGATCGCTGACTGAAAAAAAAAATTCTGCTTTTTTTTTTAAAAATGAAGCTGGTGGGTACATAATGTGCAGTTTGACACTAATCCATTTTTTAAAAAATACTAATAATGATTATGAGAAGATTTGTAGCTCATTTTTTTGTTTGGAAATTACGCAACCCTGTTAAAAAAAATAAATTGAAGTGCAAAATAATTATAATTACTAAGGATTTATGTGTGTAAATGATTGCAGACATGTTGTAAAACATCAAGTACTTAAATCATTTTTTCATGTGGTAAAAATAAAAAAGTTTTAAAGAAACATCTATTACTACACCATGAGATGCTTTTTGAATATAGCATGGTAACTATTTTTTTCACATGATGTTACAGAATATGATCTCAACAGCCCAAAATTGAAGACCGCTTAATTTTTTAGTTTATATCCATATATGATGCAACCATTTCTGTACATTTTGAAAAGCTATTGCAAACTGGTGATAAATTTGAATGAAAGCTTAAAAAATTGTTTCATAGGAGACGCACTTTGTATTCCAGCATTTAGTGGCAGGTTAGTATCCAATTCATTCAGAGTAATGTAAGCGAAGTATGTTGTAACAGTAGGAAGAATTAAAATTTGATATTTTAATTCTGATTTACCAAAGACCTGTAAAAAATAATTGCTTGTAATAATTATATATATCTTTGATGATGTATTTAATTTTCTGAGTTTTTTGTTATGTTTTTTTTTCTGCTGAAGATCAGCATATTGCATCATGTATACATCTATACAATTTTATAAAACCCTGATTCTGAGAATCTACAATAAGCACCACATTGAATTGTTAGTTCATTCTGTCAATTAGTCCTAAATAAAGGTAATTAACATTTATATGTGTGGTCTTGTTTTTCATTTTGTACCATTTGTATATTATGGTATGATATGTCTATATGCTACTCACCTAACAGGACATGATTACTGCCAGCACAGTAACCATCTTTAAAATCTCTTTCTGAATGGAAAGTCCTATCACTATGGGGATTATCTCCAGAATTCATATGATGTCTACTTGGTCCTATGTCATTCAGCTTGAATACTCAAAATGGCCACCACAGTTGGGGTTTCACTAGAAGACTTCTTATGATGAACATCAACATTTAGATTTGACTTTCACCACAAAATTCTTACGGTGTCTGGTTAGTCTTTTATGAAAATAGTGCCCATCTGACATCCTGTGTTACTGCCATGGTGACCATCTTTAAAATCTTGTCAATGCTCTTTCTGAGGAGAAAGTCATGTCAACATGGTTTTCACCTGAAGACTTTATGATGTCAAGATGGTCTTAAATGAAATGACTCCGCTTGGTCATCAAATATTGCTGAATAGATGACTATATCTGCATGGAGTTTTTACTGAATGACTTTTGTTAAATTTCTAGTTAGTCCTAAATGCTGAACTCGCATCTAATATGGCAGCAATCTTAAAAATTGTGTTATTTGTTACTCCTCCTGATAGGAAAGTCACATCAGCAATCTGACCTCAAATATCACTGCCATAATGAACATTTTGAAAAGCTTTGAACTAATTCTTGGAAATGGATGGTCATATTAATAAGGGGTTTTCACCAAAAGCCTTCTAATGGTATCCAGTTAGTCCATATTGACTGTCACAGTGGCCAATCTAACACTCAATATGACTGCCACAGATGATAATTTAATACTCAATATGACTGCCACAGTAGCCAATCTATCACTAATATGACTGCCACAGTGGCTAATCTAACACTCAGTATGACTGCCACAGTGGCCAATCTAATACTCAATATAACTGCCACAGTAGCCAATCTATCACTCAATATGACTGCCACAGTGGCTAATTTAACACTCAATATGACCGCCACAGTAGCCAATCTAAGACTCAATATGGCTGCCACAGTGGCTAATCTGAAAATGAAGAAGCTCAAGAATATAAGAGATAGTTTAAACACCTAGCAATTAAAAAGGGGGATTGTCTTGATATACATTCAAAAATTATTTTTGGTATGTAAAGCAAGGGACTCGTTTTTTTCCATAAAAAAGAGATTAAGCAATTGTAAACACAAACAGGATATAAAATATCTTGGTGCCTAAGATTATTATCAACAAACATTAGTTTTTTTTAAAAGCTTGAACAATCTGCTTAATTTATTTTTTCATAATGAAGACACGAAAAGAACTAAATGGCAATGGAAAGGATAAGTTGGTCAGGTAGTCTGATTAAGGTAGAAATATTATTATTATTGACTCTCTTTTGGGGTTTTGCTTAAGCAAGACTTCTTAGTGCTGTTAAGATTAAAAAACATAATTTTCCAATGCCAGGGGGAAAAAATGATGCAACATATCTGAACAAACATTGCTACATTTTATCAAAACTGTCTGAGCCATTTTGAACAAAAAGCTGAAAATAGGTTTTCAGATTTGTTTGCTATGGAAGCCACATTGTTTTCAGTTTTGGTTGCTATAGAAGCCACATTGTTTCTATGGAAGCCATTCAAGGCACAATAATGGTAATGCATGGCCTGTATAACATTCCTATTTGATTGAAATAGTGGTGTTTGAGAAAAAGTTAAAAATAGCAGCACATGCTGAATGTAAGACAAAACCATTAAATTCATTTGGCCTCAGATGGCAAAGTAATCCATCCCCCTGAAGAAAAAAAAACATTATTACTGTCAATTTTTCAGTAAGAAACCCAATTCCAGAGCCTACAGTATCATATATATTTACAATAGCACGTTCATGCTTTTTTTTTCATTTTTTGTTTAAGGTGAAGCAATTTTATTTCTATAACCTGTTTTCTACCACAACTAATTTGTATGTCATCCTTTCAATTTTGTCTACTGAACAGGTCTGTTTCTGTTTAACATAAGTCTGAGTTATGTTGAAAAAATAAGATTTAATTGTTGAGAAATTCTAAAATTCTGATTTGTTTATCTGAAACATAATAGGGTACTATATAATAAGGATACACAAACCATATTTATCATATCAGCTCTACAGTGTCAATCAGTGATCTGAATGGTGATTTACAATTATATATTTTGTTGGATACAGAAGAGCATAAATGTCATTGATTTAAACAGTCAGGATTCTGGAAATGTGTGTGTAAATGTAGCTTTAACAATTTTTCAGTCACATCCCTATAATGTCTGCAGTGTGGCAGTTCATAGTGATGTATAATGCTGAGGAATCATGCCATAGACATGAAGCATCGTATCCCACCCAGTCATAATATCCTGACACCAGGCTGACCAGCCTTAAAACTAACGTGTTAGAGCTGAGCACCAAGCAAGGAAGTGATATGTCTTTTAGTATGACTTGGCCAGGGTTCAAACCTGTGACCCCCCACATCCAAGGCAGATGTTCTAACCAGTTAGGCCACCATATTGGTGTGGAATTTTGCGATTATATTCAAGGATTTGAATTTCTAACTAAATTTCTATTGGATTATTGTGAAACTTTCCAGAACTTTAGTGATAGTCTACATTTATGAGATTACAATGAAGCCAAAATATTTGGATTAATAATTTCACTGAATTCAGTAGTGTTAAAGGTAACACACATGAACAATACAAGATAAGTTCAGAATATCTTAGAACAGTTTCTGGACTAGTGGAAAATTGACATAACAATTTAGGATTATAGGATTACATACCAGGAATTTGTATGTTAAGTTATTTGTAATTTTTTCTCTTTGATTTTGTCTTTAAATAAATTTATATGTTGTAAATTTAAATGCTTGTTGGATTACCTGGTCCTATTACATAAGTTTCAACCCCTAGACATAGAAATATGTCACACTGACATTGGACTGTAGGTTGTAGTATTCCTATTGATTCATCTACTTAACAAGTTACAATCAACTCTGCCCACACATTCAACACATTACAGGCTATACTATACTAAAGATATGGAAGCAAAGTGCATTTCCCAAATAAACACCAAGGCCATGACCCAGGTTAATACCAAACCTGCAACTTTTGGATTGCAAGACTAACACACCAGCAACTTAAGTACTGTGGCTTAAGCTAAATGGAAACCCTAACCTAAAGAAATTAATTAATGTAAAGACAGAAGGAATTACCAAATTAAAATACAGATTAGCAGTGACCTAGTTCTCATTCATGGATACAGTACTCCTCACACCACATTTACATATCAACTCATGACCCTACAGGATGCAGTAATCATGTGTGTAATATAAATTGGGAGAGAAAAACATGATCATTAATGTGATTTTGTTGTACAGTGTACATAAAACAAACTTGATAATGTAATAATAATGATAACAACAACAATAGAAATAAAGTAACAACAATGATAATGATACCTGGTGTGTTGTATTTGTTCAAAATCTAATTTTAAATGGTGAACCTGTGTACAGCAGTCACATGTGTGCAACAGCTAATTCTACATTTTCACATGAGCAGCCACTAATGACAGGTTTGGCCATACTTAAAAATAGGCATATACAGAACATAATCAAACCAAAATCTTCCAAGATCTTATAGCAAAAATATACAAACACAATAATTAAGTAAAATAAAAAAAGACAAGTTGAAAACGATTTCCATTCTTTTATTGGTTTTTGTTCATAAAGCAACAGTTATGACCCTTAATCTAATTACATTGTAGTGTATCTACTGATTTCACTTTCTCTTGCATAACTGACAAGTTTTGTTTGATATACTATTAAATATTTAAATTTTGTAAAAGAGTCACATTGTGGTAATTTTCACTATCATAAAAAGTGCACATTTGCATCAATAATTTGAAATAGACACATATATTAGTATACAGGCTTTACAGTGTTGAAACCTTGGTCTTGTTCTAGTCTCTTTCCATGCCAAGTTTCACTAGAAAGCTTGTGGCTGTCTGAATGGATGTAAGACAGTATCCCTCTTCTCCTAGTAAATACCTACATGAAGAAATATTATGTAATGGATGATGTCTATATGGAGAAATATTATTATGTAATGGATGATGTCTATATGGAGAAATATTAATATGCAATGGATGATGTCTATATGGAGAAATATTAATATGTAATGGATGATGCCTAGATGGAGAAATATTATGTAATGGATGATGCCTAGATGGAGAAATATTAATATGTAATGGATGATGCCTAGATGTAGAAATATTAATATGTAATGGATGATGGATGCCTAGATGGAGAAATATTAATATGTAATGGATGATGGATGCCTAGATGGAGAAATATTAATATGTAACAAATGATGCCTAGATGGAGAAATATTAATATGTAATGGATGATGTCTATATGGAGAAATATTATTATGTAATGGATGATGTCTATATGGAAAAATATTATTATGTAATGGATGATGTCTATATGGAAAAATATTATTATGTAATGGATGATGTCTATATGGAAAAATATTATTATGTAATGGATGATGTCTATATGGAAAAATATTATTATGTAATGGATGATGTCTATATGGAAAAATATTATTATGTAATGGATGATGTCTATATGGAAAAATATTATTATGTAATGGATGATGTCTATATGGAAAAATATTATTATGTAATGGATGATGTCTATATGGAAAAATATTATTATGTAATGGATGATGTCTATATGGAGAAATATTAATATGTAATGGATGATGCCTAGATGTAGAAATATTAATATGTAATGGATGATGCCTGTATGGAGAAATATTAATATGTAATGGATGATGCCTATATGGAAAAATATTATTATGTAATGGATGATGTCTATATGGAAAAATATTATGTAATGGATGATGTCTATATGGAAAAATATTATTATGTAATGGATGATGTCTATATGGAGAAATATTAATATGTAATGGATGATGCCTAGATGTAGAAATATTAATATGTAATGGATGATGCCTGTATGGAGAAATATTAATATGTAATGGATGATGTCTATATGGAAAAATATTATTATGTAATGGATGATGTCTATATGGAAAAATATTATTATGTAATGGATGATGTCTATATGGAAAAATATTATTATGTAATGGATGATGTCTATATGGAGAAATATTAATATGTAATGGATGATGCCTAGATGTAGAAATATTAATATGTAATGGATGATGCCTGTATGGAGAAATATTAATATGTAATGGATGATGCCTATATGGAGAAATATTAATATGTAATGGATGATGCCTAGATGTAGAAATATTAATATGTAATGGATGATGGATGCCTAGATGGAGAAATATTAATATGTAACAAATGATGCCTATATGGAGAAATATTATTATGTAATGGATGATGCCTATATGGAGAAATATTATTATGTAATGGATGATGTCTATATGGAAAAATATTATTATGTAATGGATGATGTCTATATGGAAAAATATTATTATGTAATGGATGATGTCTATATGGAAAAATATTATGTAATGGATGATGTCTATATGGAGAAATATTAATATGTAATGGATGATGCTTAGATGGAGAAATATTAATATGTAATGGATGATGGATGCCTAGATTGAGAAATATTATTATGTAATGGATGATGTCTATATGGAAAAATATTATGTAATGGATGATGTCTATATGGAAAAATATTATTATGTAATGGATGATGTCTATATGGAAAAATATTATTATGTAATGGATGATGTCTATATGGAAAAATATTATTATGTAATGGATGATGCCTAGATGGAGAAATATTAATATGTAATGGATGATGCTTAGATGGAGAAATATTAATATGTAATGGATGATGCCTAGATGGAGAAATATTAATATGTAATGGATGATGCCTAGATGGAGAAATATTATGTAATGGATGATGTCTATATGGAAAAATATTATTATGTAATGGATGATGTCTATATGGAAAAATATTATTATGTAATGGATGATGTCTATATGGAAAAATATTATTATGTAATGGATGATGTCTATATGGAAAAATATTATTATGTAATGGATGATGCCTAGATGGAGAAATATTAATATGTAATGGATGATGCTTAGATGGAGAAATATTAATATGTAATGGATGATGCCTAGATGGAGAAATATTAATATGTAATGGATGATGCCTAGATGGAGAAATATTAATATGTAATGGATGATGCCTAGATGGAGAAATATTATGTAATGGATGATGCCTAGATGGAGAAATATTATGTAATGGATGATGCCTAGATGAAAAAAATATTTATATTTATATGTAACAAATGATGCCTATATGGATAAATATTAACATGTAAAGAATGATGCTTAAATGGAGAAATATTTGTATGTAATGAACAATGCCTAGATGGAGAAATATTAATATGTAATGGATGATGGATGCCTAGATGGAGAAATATTAATATGTAATGGATGATGCCTAGATGGAGAAATATTAATATGTAATGGATGATGCCTAGATGGATAAATATTAATATGTAATGGATGATGGATGCCTAGATGGAGAAATATTAATATGTAATGGATGCCTAGATGGAGAAATATTAATATGTAATGGATGATGCCTAGATGGAGAAATATTAATATGTAACAAATGATGACTAGATGGAGAAATATTATTATGTAATGGATGATGTCTATATGGAGAAATATTAATATGTAATGGATGATGCCTGTATGGAGAAATATTAATATGTAATGGAAGATGCCTATATGGATAAATTTTAATATGTAATGGATGATGCCTAGATGGAGAAATAATAATATGTAATGGATGATGCCTAGATGGAGAAATATTAATATGTAATGGATGATGGATGCCTAGATGGAGAAATATTAATATGTAATGGATGATGGATGCCTAGATGGAGAAATATTAATATGTAATGGATGATGCCTAGATGGAGAAATATTAATATGTAACAAATGATGACTAGATGGAGAAATATTATTATGTAATGGATGATGTCTATATGGAGAAATATTAATATGTAATGGATGATGCCTGTATGGAGAAATATTAATATGTAATGGAAGATGCCTGTATGGATAAATTTTAATTAATATGTAATGGATGATGCCTAGATGGAAAAATATTAATATGTAACAAATAATGCCTACATATATTATGAATGACACCTGCAGTAGAAAATATTCATATTTAATGATAGATGCCACTAGGAATAAATATGAAGAAATACTCATATGTGATGAATGCCACCTATATAAATAAATAGTCATATGTAATAAATCACACCTATATGAATAAATATTCTTACATGATATCTACATGAATATCTGCAAAAAGAAAGCAAATCTGTAAGTAAATTATGTCTCTCTGTGAATACTTTCCCAATCAAATTACATTATTAATATTAGCCATCTACCTTGGAAATCCAGCCCTACTAAAAGATAAAAATCATCTTATTCTGTCTGTTT